GTCCATTCTTTATTTCTACAGCAAAATATGTAGTATGTTGATCAGATGGCAATAGATATAATTTTTCTGATACAATATTGTTGGTGTTGATTACCCAGTCCTAACTCATTTAGCATTTTTACGAATGTATGACATTCTTTGTCAAACAACTATCCCTAGCGAACTGACAGAAAGATTTATAAATTTAACAGCTGTAAAGTTTTGATCCAGTTCTCTAATTAGGTTTTTATATTTAGCTTTCTTGCGGTTAACATTGTTTGTGAGGTTTGATTCAAAGCCTACGGTAAGTTCAACAACGTAGAGGTGTTTGTCTGAAGTGGAGACAAGTAAATCAGGACGATATTCATCACCCGTAATAATTGAGGGGAAATCGTAATGTCCAATAATACGCTACGACTACGACTAGGAGAGACAAAATTAGAAGAAAAACTAGCAGATCATGAATCCAACATAATAACCACTCGGGTACATTAATGCCTGGGTCTCAGTTTGTGTATTTAGCGAAAATAAACAAAAAATCATAAAAAAATAAGTATGGCCTTGATTATTACCATTCAAGTTTTATATGATTTATCAAAGGAGATTCTAAAAGTTGATCTACTTTTCGTTGTCATGGCAACGATCACGTGATGTATATTTCGAAAAACAACACAAAAAATGATACTTTTTATTCAGAGGCTCTGCAGCAGTATATTTCGTGACTGAGAGGATGCAGAATTGCGATAATCATTCACACATAATATCACTGTTTATTGAATAAATTCGGAAAGTTTACATTTAGGCTTCGTTTCATTATTTTATGCAGCTATATATTACGATGATCAGCATCAAACGAACGTTAATCGCATCAATCGCACCAGCGTTCTCATAGACCATCATGCCTTGCGGGCATATAACAAATTTGCGCGCTTTTTAATAAAACAAAACATGGCGGAATTTGGATATATGAGAAACACTGATTGGAAAGATGATGAAGAACTTAAAGAAACAATAAGCTGTTTGGTTTTACGAAATTTTACCCGAAAAGAAATACTAGATTTTTTGATGAGGGACTTTCCTCAATACACATGGAGTCTTGGAAGCTTGAGCCGCCGAATGGAACATTTCGATATAAAGTATGTGGATCACAGCACAACTGTAGAACAAGTTAGAGCTGCATTTCAAGCAGAAAATGATGGACCTGGACAGCTGCTTGGTTACCGTGCAATGCACAAAAGAATACGTGAGCAACATGGCCTTGCAGTTCCTAGAGGACTTGTGTATGACGTTATGACACTTGATGACGAAGACGGGTTGCAAAGACGAAAAGCTGTTGGAAAGGAAAGGAGAAAAAGGGGTCCAGTCGGAACTTTTACTTCTCTGGTAGGCTCAACTAGTCAACTATAATATAAATATTGTAAAAGACGTATAAAAGAGATTGACAAATTATGTATTAAATGTTTGGCTTGGACAATTCCCTCCTACACGCACACCCCCTTATGGATGAGGTCACTCCAATTTTAACCCCTAAGAAAAAAAAGATCAAAGTGCCAACACAAAACCCCCCTCAGAAATTTGTAAATTTTGCCCTTACCCTCAGAAAAATCGAAGACCTCAAAGAATGCAGACAGGCCCCTCAGAAACAACTTTGGGATCACCATTCAGAAAAATCCGTCCACAGGGTGTGATCGGGCTATTCCATTTAATATCCGTACCCCCCCCTGTCGAGGATCCCTGGAATTCTTCAGGGGTAAAGTGTTTTGAGCTTGGAATTCTTCAGGGGTAAAGTGTTTTGAGCTTGGAATTCTTCAGGGGTAAAGTGTTTTGAGCTTGGAATTCTTCAGGGGTAAAGTGTTTTGAGCTTGGAATTCTTCAAGGGTAAAAGGTTTTGAGCTTGGAATTCTTCAGGGGTAAAGGGTTTTGAGCTTGGAACTCTTCAGGGGTAAAAGGTTTGAGCTTGGAATTCTTCAGGGGTAAAGGGTTTTGAGCTTGGAATTTTGGGATTCTTCAGAGGTAAAAGGTTTTGAGCTTGGAATTCTTCAGGGGTATAACAATGAAAAACATGTATCCTCGACAGGGGGTGTACAGATATTAAATGGAATAGCCCATAATTAAATGGAATGGCCCTAATTTAATACAGGGATAACATTCATCCTTCCAAAATGGGAGCAGACCCCTGGTGCTCTCTGTTTGTATCGTATTCATGAATTAACACTTTATCTACTATCATTGTAGGGCCCAAATCACACCTTTTCAGCTGATGGACATGACAGTTTTATGAGGGATACCTTTCCTCTTGCTATATATGGATGGCAAGATGTTTTCAGTGGACGACTGATGTTCCTAAAAGTGTGGACGTCCAATTCAAATCCAAAACTTGTGGGTCAGTGGTACTTAGACTATCTGTATGATAAGAAAGGTACAGTCATTACAGTAGCCAATGACCAATGTTTTCCATAATTTTGACTCAAAATTATATTAATTTCCTCAGTATGTACCCAAATTTTCTGGATTTCGGAAGTTCAGGGTCAAATTTCACCATCACTTCCACTCTATATGCCTAATATTAAAAGTTTCAAGTTACATGAAATGGTATATGGTGTATTTTTTTAGTTATTAGTCAACATCTTCGACTTGACAAAGGCACTGAAACGAAGGATATAGCAACCATCCATGCATTTCTAAGGAATACACATGGTGATACTGACACACCAGAAGACACAGTTCATTATGGGCCATCAACAAGTAACAAGGTAATATTTAACAACATATTAGACAATAGGGCCATTTATACGAGACAAAATAAGACGCGACTTACATAAGACGCGACTTAAATAAGACTCGAGTTTGTCGTATAAAAGGCACAAAATTCTTATGTAAGACGTGTCTTACATAAGAACAGGACTTTTAGCTGTTCTTATTTAAGTCGCGTCTTAACTACCCTTACGAAAATTTCCTATAGGAATTCCTATAGGAAAAATTCCTATAAGAATTTGGGACAAAATTCCTATAGGAATTTTTCCTATAGGAATTCCTATAGGAAAAATTCCTATAGGAAAAATTCCTATAGGAATTTTGTCCCAAATTCTTATAGGAATTTTTCCTAT